TTGTTTATACTATTACATATAATAAAATCCAGTAAGATACAACATGATAAGACCGATGGAGACAGAACAAAAGCTTGATGGGACTTCAAAACAAGATGATATGAAATCAGCACTAGCTATTACAACATCTTGTTTTCTTCAAAATAGCTGTTCATACCATCACAGACAATAAAATCAAACAACCTAGAATAAAACTATTCTAACTAATGAATGAAAGCATCATAAGGCTTCAAAGCAATGTAATGGGGAATCATGATTATCACATACTTTTATGTACTCTTACCATTTCTTACACTAGGGAGACTATATGGTATTTATACATGTGAGTTTGATTTATTTTGCTTATGAGTATGGTCTCAAGCTGTGTCCATTTATTTATAAATATCTCAATGTGATCATTCTTTATAGCTTTATACTCCATTGTATTGTTTTATGTCTTTATAATAGTCCTTGTAAAAATGTTGCACATTTTTGTTAGATTTGTTTCCAGGCACTTTATATTTTGGATACTATTGCAAATGCTATCTTTTAAATATTAACATTGTTATTGAGAGATATTTACAGACCAAAAATTCAACTACTTGAAGAGTACAACTTGATTATGTTAGTATATTACAGAGTTATAAACCCTCATCGAGAAAACTAAATTTAGAACGTTTTCACCCCCCTCCCATGCCTTTTCTGTGTGCAGTTACCACCCAGCTACCTCCGCACTCATCCTCAGCAGGAAGGGATGAGTGAGCAAGAGAGTAAATAAATGAAGTTTTACCCCTGTAACAAGCTTTATGTCAGACGTTGCCTAGATCTGGTTCGTGCTTTGTTTTGTTTTGTTTTGTTTGTTTTCCCATTCTCTCTGCTACTGCCCTGGTTTCCAGCCCGATCTACTAGCTTCTCTGTCTCTTGCATCACTGCGTGCCTTCTGCACGCTGGCCAACAGCTGTGTCCGGAGAAGACTGTGTTTTAAATGCGTCCTCCCATGATGCCCTTGACCAGTCCCCCGGGACTCCAGCTCCACTCCTGACGTGGTGTCTATGGGGGAAATCGGGCTGGTGACCAGAGGAACTTGGAAATGAGTCTCCGGAGTCCCTGTCTCCCGTGGGTTGGATAGGGCCTCTTCCGGTGTGCTGTGAAGCCCTCCGAATGTAAACACAGCCAGCCTCATTATCCCCTTCACTTCCTCCTGAGTCAGAGCTATCTCAGGGTAACTCGGGAAAGAGCTAAATTAAGCCTTGAAACCAAGCAGCCTCCATGACAGGCACTTTGTTGTGCTTGAGTGACTGCAATGATGGCTCTCTGGTTATAAGCACAGCACTAATCACATCTCTTAAGACTGACCTTGGCCATCTATTCCCTGCCCTGCAGAGATACCAGATCTGTGTTCTCTGCTGGGCACCTAGTCTGTGCTAGCACTGTTCTTGGGGGGCAGGAATTCAAAAGCTCTCCCTTTCAGGACTCACAGTCTGTCTAAAAAGACAGACAAGAAACAGGGACCTCGGAAGAGATGCCTGGTGTTTGGGAAGATCTCTATCCAGAGCCAAAGAGGGGATGGTTTTCTAAGATCCTCATACCTTTGAGCTTTCTGAAAAGCCAGCTGTCCGTCCAACACTTACCAAACCAACACCACTGTGTTGAAAAGCTGTTCGTCAGTACACTAAGTTAAATGCCTAAGCCGTGGCCCATCCTCTCTAGGGATCTGTTGACAATTGGAAACTGTACAAATATATATTTTCCATCAAAAGAAAGAGCTGTTGGACTTCAGTTGAAATATCCATGCTGCAACACTTCAGGGGAAGTGTCAAAGTGTCTGCAGTTTACATGCAAAGGCACCCCAAAAGTTGCATGGGCAAGGGATGGGTACATGTGTGGTGAAGGTGGGACAGCCCAGCAGTGTGTCAGTGGCAAAGTTTAGATGCCTGGTGCAGGGATGCTCACGGTACAGTTCTTTCAACTTGACGATATGTTGAGTTTTCATGTAGCATTTTGGGGAAATGTATCTGTAAGTTCACCAGAAAACTCATACGAGAACACTCACAGCAGCATTACACATGGTAGCTCCAGGCGTGAAGCTTCCCAAATGCCTGTCACAATGGGATGGGTCAACACAGTGTGGCTGTGCAGAATTCTTCCTGTAAATGGGAGTAAAATTCTCAGTGCTGCACAGTCTGTGGATCTCAAAAAGTAATGTGGATGGAAAAAAGTCAGTGTATAAGAGAACATACTGTATGACTGTATGTAAAATTTAAAACCTGGCAAAATTAACTCGTGATGATAGAAATCACATAGTGGTTTTCAGGAGCAGAGCAAGGGACAGAGACCAGATGGTGGCCACTGGGTGTAGCAGTTCTGATTTTTTATCTTAATGCTAGTTAAACAGATGTATCACACTGTACGCTTAAACTCTGCACACCTTTCTCTGTGTTCATTATACATTATTAAAATTATACTAGGGGAAGAAAAAAGAGAAAGAAAAGCACACCGAAGCGTTCTCTAGCTGAGCTCTGGGAATAGGAAGCCACTCAAAGCCTGTCTAGCAAACCAAAGCGTGAAGGAACCAAAGCCTCCCTGGAGGCCGTGCATCGCTCACCTGTGTGCACACCCCTGCTGCGTTTGCTCTGGCAGTCTGTGCGGGCACGCCATCCTCCGTACAGATGTCTCCCCACGGACACTGTGTTGTGTGTCCTGAGCTGATCAATGAGGCAAGGCCCAGTCCTTTCAGGGGTTCACGTCCACAGTGAGAGGAACGTGCACCTTCCTCCTTCCTGGGTTCTTGATCCTCCCTGGGAGATGTTCCCTCAGACCTCCCTGACCCCCACATTAGTCAGGGCTCTCCAGTGAAACAGAACCAGTAAGAAGCTCTATGTGTACTTGTGCACACACATGCACACACGTGTGTGCAAATATTATGAGGCTGCATCAGTCAGCATGGAGGCCCAGGGGACCCACGGGTGCAGTCACTTCCAGTTCTAAGACTTGCAGGCTAAGACCCAGAAAGAACTGATTGCAATCTGAGAGTTTCGGACCCAAACAGGAAAAAGCTGATGTGTATTTGTCACCTTTCTGTTACTAGGACAAAAATGCCTGACATACTCAGCTTAAAGGAGAAAAGGCTTATTTTGGCTCATGGTTCAGAGGTTTCGGTCCATGGTCACCTTGATCCAAGGTTGAAAAGCCATAGCAGGACACAGCTGCTCACCTCATGGCAGCACAGAGAACATGAAGATAGGAAGACAGCCAGAGAAAAAGTGTGCCCTTCAAAGACAGGCCCTGAGTGACCTCTTTCCTCCAGCCAGGCCACCTCCTGCAGCAGCTCAGGTGTGAACTCATCAAAGGGTCTTCCATGAGGTTAATACCCACAATTTAATTACCTTTGCAAAAACCCCACCTTTGATCACAGGACTCACAGGGGGATATCTTTTATCTTAAGTGTAAAACAGTGTCCCAGCTTGAAGGCAGTCAGGCTTTGAGGAAGCCTCTAACTTTCAGGAATGTCTACCTTTGGCTTACTTCAGATCTTCCACGAAGGCCCACACGCGTAGAGGAGGGGCATCTGTGTTTCTCAATCTGCCAATTCCAATGCTGGTCTCCTCCAGAAATACCTTCCCAGACACACCCAGAATAATGTTCAACCCTTGTCTGGGCAGCCCGTGGCCCAGTCCAGTTGACACATAGAACTGTCCATCACAGCCCCAAACCATAAAGTGCCTCCCGACTGCAGAGCTGCAGCTCTCTGAGAGGGAACAACCCTGCTGTTTCCCAGGAAGGACCTACACGCTGGGTCTTTTTACCCGTGGTGCGGGTTAGAAATTGGCGGGGTAGAAAGTTTCAGCTGCCCGCCATACTCTGGATGGCCGTGCTAATTAAAAAGTAATTTTGTTTATTGTAAAATGTACAGGCAGCAATTTAGCTAAATAGATGCCTATGGCTTAGAGAGCAATGAAACACAGAATCAAGTGCTGAGCATCCAGCTTAGCAGAGGGACAGTGACCAGTGTCTTGGACCCCTTCCCAGAGCATCCCACTGTGCTCTTGCTGGAGGAAGCTGCTCTCCTGGGTTACGTGCCAATCATTTCTCTGCTTTCTATAAAAATCAAAAGTACACACCTCTAAAATGGTAGCCTAGGTGGTTCTGCCAGTTTTGAGCCTTTAGGAGTCAAATCACGATGCATATACCCTGCTGCTGTGTGTCACTGTGGGCAACCCCAGCCCCCCATCTCGTCATGCCTGGCCCATTGTGGGCTTTGCCACCTAAGAGCATCTGTTCTCCCCCTGAGGCACACAGGGCTGGCATTCAGGGCTCTGCTCTGGCAGACACGGCAGGGAAGAGTGTTCCTGTCCTGGCACCCAGGCGTACAGAAGCAGGGCTTCCCTTCACAGGTGTGCCCAGACTCAGGGTGTGTGCCATTCCTCCGGGGAATGCCAAGGAGCTTTCCAGGATGGCGGCACAGTCTGTATTCCTGGTAGAGGCAGCGAGGGTCACCATGGTGCTGCCTCCTCACACTGCAGGTGGAATTCTTCCCAGCCTCTCCTGGGTCCTGGCTGCTGGGTCCTGTCCACCCTGCTCCTCCTGCAGCCAGAGCTTTGGACCAGGTGGGACTGTGGTGACCACACAGACGGCACCCTTCTCGGGTGGGACCTGGTATGGGAAAGCGTGACTTTCTCTCCACCCTGGCTGAGCTCAGGCGTTTGCTCTTGACTGCTGGGCAGTGGTCTTGGTTTCCGTTTCCAGGGAAAAGGGGAAACAATCTCTACAAAGGCCTGGAGCCCACATTGGTCATCCAGGCTCACAACCTCATGCCCACATTAGGACCTTCATCCCCGAACCATGTTCTGCTTCTTTATAGAGCGATGGACCCCAGGAGGGCACCAGTGGATGTGTGCTTTGTTGCCCCGGCCTGTGGTCCAGCCCTGCAGCCTGAAATCACCACCCCCAGCGATTCCGCCTGGCTGTAGAGAGCGTGCTGGAAAGCGATAATCTTTTGTGCTGCCTCTTCCCACTTACAGGTTAGCCTGGTGAGGAAGATAAAGACATTTGCAACCAAGATGGTAATCACGAGTGGAAATGATGAAGACAGAGGAGGCCAAGAAAAAGAGAGCAAGGAGGAGAGTGTCCTGGCCATGCTGGGGATCATTGGGACCATCCTAAACCTGATTGTCATCATCTTCGTCTACATCTACACCACACTGTGAGCGGCCCGGCCTGTCCTCGGAGGCTCGGGAGGACCACGCGATGGGAGACCTCTGTGTCCTCAGATCAGTGACCAGATGCTGGGAGAACCAGCAGGCTCAGCCTGCACACACCGCTGCATCCATGCACCTTTGAACTCCATAAGAGGTCACAAGACAACCGGTCCTGCTGCTAGGAGCAGACACTAAAGCACAATGAATCCAACAAAACTCCTTCGTGCCACAGGGAACTCAGCGGCTCTGGCAGGAGCTCCGGAAGAGCGCTCAGAAGTGCGGCCCTGGGTACCAAAGGCGAGTGGACGGGCTGCAGAAACTCAGTGTCCCAGGTCGGTGACAACACCTGGTATTCCCCATGTTTGAGAGGATGCCCGGGGGGACATAGCTGGGCGGGGCGTCTCCCGGGCCAGCACTGCGTCTTTACTGGCTGAGCCGTTTCATAGGAGGTCACAGGGGCCATTCTTAGACAGACATCCGTCCGCCTGTCGCAGTGTCTAACTGTTTGATACTGGGGAGATAACTTATTTTTGTTTTTTCATTGGCTTGATGTGTGTATCTGTTCATATCAAGGTTTATAAATATATATTTTTAATAAATGTGCTCTATTTTTTAGCATGAACCAAATATTTGGAGAGCCGCTTCCAAATCCACCGTGCTTTCCTTGGTTTCAATGGCTTCGCCCCTTTTTCAACTGCAGTTCTTTTGTGTCATGCTAAAGTCCTCTCATCTCATCTGAAAGCCTTTGCTTTTGTGCTTTTATGTTTGTTCATCTCTCTTCTCCCCTCCCATCCCTTTTTCCCTCCCTCATTATCCCTCCCTACCTCTCTCCTCCTTTCCCCTCCTCTCCGTTTCTCTATCTGCTCCTTCTGTCTCTGGTCTGCAGGACATTTTTGTGTAATACCAGCCATGGGCTTGGTTGGGGCATGTTTTAAGATTGTTTGTTGAGCGGCTTTTTGTTGTTCTGTCAGAGATATTAAACAGTCGTGGGCATGTAGATCTTAGACACACTATCTTTACTGAGAACTATGCATGAATAAGGGCTGAGTGGTAGATCAGCTTTAAAACAAAAAAACAAAAAAACTTTCAAATGGACAATTGTTGAGGAAGAAGAGGGGCAGGCTTTGCAGATGGAGTCCTGAGCGGACACTCAGCATCTTGCCAGCAGAATTATTATTTCATTCCGTAGCCATTTGTGTCTCAGATTTTGATTTCATTGACCTCGAGGGATGGGAAGGACAGGAGGACACTCAGCCTTAGGTGCATAATTCCTTCTTCAGCAAGATGCCCGGGGTCCTCTTTGCAGGTGCGTGGGGTGTGAATGTCATGAAGCCTACAGCAGTCCAGGCCGTGAGGACCCCTGTGACCAGGACTTGTCAGGACCCTGGAAGGGGACTCCCTGATCATCCTAAGCGATGGCTGGGTTTAAAGCTCCGGGTTCCCCCACATGAAGCTGCTTCCTCCCTGGTAGAGGTGGTTGAATAAACTCAGATTTGCCCTGAAAGGGCCCTTGTGGGGCTGCAGAGGCCTTAAACAGGTCAGTATTCTGCCCGCCAGTGGGCTGCAGCAGGGACTTGGATTCACACAACTGTGAGGAAGCGTCTCCCCTCTCCCTGAAATTCCACCACCAGAGAGCCATTTCTTGAGCTCTGATAAGGGACCAGGCTCTTTTATAAAGCAAACGCCCCCAAGCACCTGGCTCTGGCAGGGACTCAGCAGATGTTTCCCCTTTCACCCCAGAGAGACTGAAGCTGAGGTGGATTTAGGGCATCCCATGTGTGCCAGGCACTTTATATGCAAACCACACATCCTCACGGTAGCCCTGAGAACGAGTCTCCTGGTGCCATGGAAGGAAATGGCTCAGAGAGGTTCCCAAGGCCACGCAGCTCCTTGTGGAGTCAGGGCTGTACCCTGACCTGATTCCTCAGCACCCCCTCCCCAGGCCCTGGATGCAAATGACTTAGAAAGGGCAGGAAGTGGGAGGGAACAGGGCGAGATCGTGGACAGACACAGCTCTGAACGCCTGCCTCTCCTTCCCCATAGCAGTAGCCAGCCCTGGGGACCCCTGGGAGCCTGGCAGAATGCCACATAGGTGAGGACACGGGGCATGTTGGCAATCAGCTGGGATGTCGGGGAGGGAGTCCTGCACTGGGCTGTGTGGTTCCCCAAAGTCTGTATGAAATTCTGGACGGTGAACAGAGTCAACAATAAAGGTGCAATGGAAAAAACCCTGCTGCTGTCTCTTGCTTCTTCTTTGCTCATGTACATTTTCATCTTACCTTTTAAAAAGAATTGACTCTTAAGCAGAATGCTGTTTGGTTTGGAGTGTAGATCCCTGGTGACTCTGAGTGTAAACCTTTACAACCGATGGAAGGGAAGAGCTGCCTTTCTGGCCTTCTGGACAGCTTCGCAGTGGTCCTTCCAGGGGTCCTTCTCGGCAGCCTGGAAAGCAGTGCAGCTGCCCAGCTGCTGGCCACCAGACACGCAGGCTCTACCGTCCCCAAAGCCCCAGTGTGTGGTGAGTGATTGTGGGTCTTGTTTAGCAGGGAACATGAACACCCACTGAGTAAGATCACAGCTTCCCTGGGCTTGAGGCTGTGGTGAGGGGACCTGGGAGGGACAGGCTTCTAGCAGGCCCCTCTCCCCAGCATCTCATGGGATTGCCCAGCCTCCAGGGCAGTAGCAGCACTTGGCACGGGCCCTGAGCCATGTGCTGTACCCAGCACCTCGCTGCCCTCTACGGGACAGACAGCTGTATGGAATTGTACTTTCCCTCTTTGAACAGGACAGGAAAACAGCGGATTGACTCTCCTGAGGCCCCAGCAGAACCAAGTCCGCCCCAGATTCCTGGCTGCTGGCACCTCACCCACCCCAGGCTGTGGCGTGGGAGCTGTGGAGTCTGCTAGTTCACTGGGTGACAACATGCGTGGCTTTCCTTGGCCGTGTCACTTTTGCTCACAATCCAGCTGGCCTAGAGAATGTGGCCAAGAGGATGCCTCTTGCTTGTGCCCCAGGAAAGCTGCTCGGAAAGCCTGGACACCTGGCACTGGAGAGCCAGCCTGCTGTTGCAGCATGCGTAGGGTTGGGAGTAATAAGGCAGTCACAGTTTGACCCAAAACTGCTAAGTAGCAAATCCCATGTTGGCCTCTTATGATGTGAGTAACCGTAGCCACCACACTAGCTCTGAGCCACGAGTCTTAAGAAGATCGAAACTAACTAACCATCTGGGAAGAGAGCCCCGCTGCAACGCAAGACCGGTGGAGAGTGCCCACTGTGCATTTCTCTCCAGGACGTCAGTGGTGGCCCCAGAATTCCATCCCTAGGGATTCCATCTCATCTGAGTGCTACAGGAAGTGCAGGCCAGAAAGGTGCGCAGACTTAGCCACATTGTAGGTCTAAGAAGCCACAAAGCGACTCCTGGGCGGCTGGTTTCCCTGCCTCCCCCCGGGCAGCTGAAAATGGTTCTTAACCTCCAAATGAAGGGGCCAAGCTTCAGCGGGTGGTGGGGAGAGGATGTCTCAAGGACAGTCAAGTCAGGGTAAGGGACCTGAACCCTGTAGGGGAGGGGACTTGGGAATCCCACTGCTGCTACAGGATGGGGGTGGGGAGGGCAGAAAGACTTCCTAAGATGTTTTTGTTCTTTTAAAAAATAAGGATACGGAGACCCAGCTGAACCAAGTCTCCAAGTCACATAGCTCAGTTGTCAAGGTTTTATACTATTTTTTCATTTTTTAAAGAAATTGAAAAACTTCAGGTTGGTAGGGGGCTGGGTCAGAAGGCCTCCTATTGTCCCTGCTCCTGGGATTTGACAACAAAGAGCCTCCTGGAAGTCCTGAGCCTTGCACTCACCTTGTCTTCCGGAAGGAGCTGCCCAAGGCCAACAGTGCTATTTGGGGGGCCCCTCACCTCCTTGTTCACTGAGATGAGAGGCCTTCAGCTGGCATGGTGTCTGATCTTCAGAGAGTGTAGAGAGCCACCCCAGAATGCCTCCACAAATGGGGACCCTGGCATAGCAGTTCAGTCCAGCTCTCCCACCTCTTGTAAGTCAGATGTATGTGGTCTCAGCTGAAAAAGAACTGCAGTTTAGAAAAAAAAACCCTCTATACAGTTTTTTAAAAAGGAAGATAACTTTCAGATCTCACCACCCAGATCTGATGCAACCACTGTTGATATTTGGTATATCGATTAGAGACCAGGAAATTAGAGACCAGGTAGCCTGCATATCTGTTTGAGGAGAACGTTTTCCTTAATCCCATTGCCTTTTGATGGTCATTCTCTGTCTCTCTGTCTCTCTGTCTCTCTGTCTCTCTGTCTCTCTCTCTGTCTCTCTCTCTCTCTCTGGTAGTTCTGGGGATCAAACACATGATCTCGCACTTGCCAGGCAGGTGCTTATGTCACTGAGCTAAGCCCCCAGCTCCCCTGATGGTCTTACTCTTCATTCACAGTTCCTGTGTCCCTTGTCCTCCCAGAATGGATAATGCCCATATTTTGGTCTCATTGGACCTGAGTATTCTAGGTGGCCTCCTTGCATGGACACTGAGACATCCCTCATAAACAGAGAATTGAAGATTATAATTTATACTCGTGGCCTCCTGCCCTCCACATTGCTCCCAGATACATATTTATTAGCAATTATGAAAATGTGCTTTGTGTCGGTGAGTCTGTCTCGGCAAGCCGAGTGACAGCTGTGTGGGCTTCTGCTTTGATGTGCCAGCGTGGATTTCCCCAGATGCTTACCGTTGGATGTTAAGGTCCCGGTCATTTGCTGTGAAACCCTCAGCCTCGCTCCTGAAAGCATCCAAGGCAGGACTGTGACTCCCCCAGGACTCCTAGGGGTTGTCCCAGGTGGTCCCCTTTGCATCAGGCTTCAGGGATACATAGCTGCCTGCTTCTCAGACTCCGCTGATGGTAGGATCACCCAGACGCATGTTAGTCACGCCCACCGTCAGGCCTCCTTCTGGGCTGCTGGTGCGTAATTCTGGAACAGAACTTGCTATGCTCTCTCTGACAAGTCTCTCAAATGATCAGGCCAGTCCACTGGTCCAGATGCAGCCCAGGACCCCCACTGGGCCCGGAGCCGATTCCAAGAGCCCGACCCTTTGGTGGTTGCACTAGTTTTAGACAAATCACTTTGTCCCTTTTCACCTGGGTTTCCTCTTCTGTAAAAAGGTGACACCATCTGGGGTACAGGCCAGTTTGGAAATGAAATGAGGTAGTGCAGATAGAACCCCCAGAGAGTGCCTGGGGAGTGTATGTTACTGGGGTCCCTGTCTAGGTCACAGACTGGCACGATCGCGGGCCATGTTCCGGTTTGGTGCTAGCTGTGCAGTCTCTGCCCACCTTACTCTCCTCTTCCTTCCCTCTCTTCCGCCCTCCTCTCTGTCCCCTTCACCCTTCTGTCCCTTGTCCTTTCCCTTTGCTCTTGTTCCCCTACCCTTCTCTCCCCTCCTACTTCCCTCCAAACACCAGGGCCTCAGTTTACCTTCCCTTCCTTTGAGCATCCACTTCCCACCCCGAGCTTAGCATCCCACCTCTGCCCGTTAGCCACCTGAGGCAGAGCATCAGAAACCTACCTGTCTGTGCCTCATTGTTCTCGGGGGACCAGGTAGGCTCGTTCCTAAAGGCTATTTCAGGAGCACATTGTGGCTGCCACATGCTGCACGTCAGGAAGAGAAGAGTCCACAGGCTGAATTCCTGAGAGAGCTCCCCTAAAAGAATGGGTGGCCTCCACTCCCTAAGGCAGGGCCCCAGATGACACAAGACCTTCAGGTAGAGCCCCCGGGGCTGGAAGGCCCTCTGACACCACAGTACACGGATCCTTCCCTCTCCTGGGAAGCAGATGGGATGAGCAGACTGGTGATATTTTCTGTTGTTCATAAATATATAACACAAAACTGCACATAATTTTCCCAGAAGATGGGCTTCATGTTGCCAGGAGAAACAAGATTGCATAATATCTGTAAATTTTCTCCTAAAAGACTGTTCAGGGGAATGCTCCTTTGCTTTTTCACTTCTACTATAGAATAATGAGGAAACTTCCACAGCGAGATCAGAGTCAAGATTGGGTGGCTCTGGGAGAAGGCTTTTTATTTCACTACAAGTCAGCACGCTTCTGTATCTGAGGCAGGAGCCCTTGAGGTATGCAGAGACAGCTTTAAAGCCTGCGCATTCTCCTCTGTCATCTGTCCCAAA